AAAGTAATAATCCTCCATTTAGGTTTCTTTGCATGCTCTACTTATTTTACGAAGATTTCTTTTCTTTTTTCTTGTTTTCGTTTCAGTCCTCTCGGCTTATGTTTGACGGACACAGTTTCACATACGATCATTGATTAAGCTTTTCTTTTTCAAACAACACTGATCATTGGTGTAACCGCGTCGCCGATAAGAGGGCGATAGGGGTCGATAACGATTTGGGCAACTTGGAGCATCGTGCAAACAGCTCCAAATCTTTTCGATGTGAATTCAAATCATCTTACATATAACTTCGGTATGAATTAAAATCCTAAATTAATCAGTCTAACCAACTATATAGTGCAACAGAGTTTGAACGCGTTAATTAAGAATTAACTGGGATGATCGATGAATTTTCAAACTCTGTTTTTTTCTCTGTGTTTTATGTTTTGCCTCGTTTCAAAGTCTCGCTTTACACCGATTCGACGAAGAGAGAAACCGAAGCAGCTGCATCGGAAATCCTCCTTCGAAAACAAGGGGAGTGAAATAAAAATCTACGAAAATCCGGCCGCCTCTCGTATAGAGCGTAGGAGCTATCCTAATTGAGATTTATTACGACGTTAATCCGGCCAATTGTACGAACGAAGTTAAACCGTTGACCTCTTGGTTGATGATCCGAATAGGATACGCATAGCACGTGCCACGGTCTCGCCTTATGTGTGCATTGCAATAAATAATGTCACCGCCGTATTATCGCGGGAGAATCTGCCCCAATTTCTCGCGAACTTAAGCGCGAGACGTTCATTCGACATAAATTATTTTTAACGATATAAGATTACTTTTATTATTGTTGTACGCTCTAGTTTTAAATAACGTAAAATTTTAAGTGCTTCGAGCAGTAAAGTTTTAAGCAATGATAAACGTGTAATCGTATTTCTTCAAGCGACAGCGTTTATTATGGACGACCAATAAGGGGAATTAATAATTCATAATTGACAACGAATAATTCATAATTGCTTAATTATTGTACAATGCTATACTCTAGTTTTAAATATAATGTAAAGTGTGATAAACGTGCGATCGTATTCCTCCAAACGACAGCGTTTATTAAGGAAAAATGATTTGAAGAATATATATAATAATAATAATTTATAATTGTAATATAAAAAATATTATTATTATTATAATTTGTAATTGCATCGAATGATAAGAATTAAATTAAATAATTGTATCGTATATTATTCGAATTATTTAATTATTAATTTAATTATTATAATTATAATAATATTATATCCATAACAATATATATATATTTATATAATAATAATAATTTATAATTATAATATTATAATTATAACATAAAAAATATTATTATCATTATTATAATTTATAATTACATCGAATGATAAGAATTAAATTAAATAATTGCATCGTACCGCATATTATTATAATTATTTTAATTATTAATTTAATTATTATAATTATAATAATAATATATCTATAACAATATATATATATATATTTATGATAACAATATATATATATTTATATAATAATAATAATTTATAATTATAATATTATAATTATAATGTAAAAAAATATTATTATAATTTATAATTGCATCGAATGATAAGAATTAAATTAAATAATTGTCTGAAAATTTAATTGACAATTTCTTTCGTAGTCACGCTCGGTGTAAGGTAGCGAATGGATGTATTCATAAGAAGAGAGCATAAACCTCCGCGGTGGTATTTGGCGGTTCTATCATGTAAAGCAACTTACGGCCCATTAACGTAACCCACTTACGCGTGCAATCTGCCCTTGATACCATTCGTAATGAAGCGCGTTGCGCTGCGCCTCGGGAAACGGTTGCTCATCGATAAATCAGTCGCAATAAATCATATAACCGCACAATTTACTCTATAATCGATACCAAAATTATACGGTACGTTAGGGGGGATTTCGAAATTTCACGGTGTCTAATTTAATTTTGCAATTTATCGTAAAACCGTAATACTGCGGTCGAGAGATCTTGATTTTTAGCTCCGGATTTTAATTATTTAACTGTTGGTGATAATAGCTGTCCAGTGATATCACACTAACGAGTTCGAAAAGAAAGCAACGAATTATTGTGTACAGTTTGGTCACTCGTTATGGTCCGCGAACCAGTTGCCAGCGCAAGAGGTTAAAATTGAATTTTTCACACGAATTACACGTACAAGTAAATAATGTTAAATTTCGAAAAAAAGAAAATATTAATTTGAAAAAATAAAGATACATCGTTACAAAAAACATATTAATACTAGCCTGAATTTGATTGACCAATTTACGTAAATTCAAATACCTCGGTCAGCAGTGAAGAATCGAGCGCGCGAATTTCAAAAGGCGATCGAGCGCGGAGCTGCGCGAAGATGCTCCGAATTGCACCCTGTTTGGGCAAATGTTCGCTCACTTGTCGCTCACGTGAGTACACGTAGCCGTGCATATACAGACACGTATATAAAAGCAATTTGGACGAATGCCAAGGTGATTGTTTGCTCTACTCAGCAACGTTCCCGATGTTCAAATCGCCGCGAATTAGGCTTGACCCGTTTCAGGGAAAGGGAAGGGGTTCGAAGCTCCCTCGGTCGTCTCACGCGCTCACATTGAAACATTCGTCGCGTTGTCACGGATATTGTAACATGGCGAGTGTGTTCTCGTGCCAGTTCCATGACAAAGCGAAATACCGGTTGCACGCCTAATAACGACCAGCAATTACCAACAACCTCGGCACAGCGAAATACTAAATTATTGGCCGTCCGAAAGTCCCGCGCTAGCGTAAATCTCGATAATCGTATGTCGCATGTTCTCGCGTTTCTCACTCCGAATATGCATGTGGGCGGTACGTTTAATCCGAAAATTGAAAATTAATCCTCGCGTCGTTAACATCGTGGCGGATGAAGTTGTAAATTCCCCATATATATATGTGTGTGT